ATTGTTCACCCTCTAATAGGGAACGTGAGCTGGGTTTAGACCGTCGCGAGACAGGTTAGTTTTACCCTACCGTTAACAACGTCGCCACGTCGCGACAGGAGCCCCGCCCAGTACGAGAGGAACGGTGGGTCCGGACCAATGGTGCACCTCCTGCCCGACAGGCCACCAGGGGGAGGGCAGCCACGTCCGGCAGGTTTTACCCCTGAAAGCCTCTCAAGGGGGAAACCGCGCTGAGCGTTAAGCGACGTGATCGCGTGCGGCGCAACGGATCGGCGAGTTTTTACTTAAACTGCGTTTAGACGCGAGCCCGGCGAGAGCAAGGGAGGCGGACTGTGCCCAGCAAGGGGAAGTCACGCGGCTGTTTTCTGACGGTCGAAGGGGGGAGGTCCAGTCGGACGGCCCGGCCAAACCGCTCCCTCCGGGGGCGGTGGGGCCGGCCGCCCAGAGGCTTGAAGGGGGCCTTCCCTTTGAGACACAGCTTCCTCGATACAGAGCAAACCACGTCCGGTGGCCGTACCGACCGTCTGCATACGACTGACATATCGGCTGGGGTGTTGTACCGGTTAGAGCAGGCTCCTCTTTTCCTGCGATTAAGTGAGACTCGTCCCCTACGGTCGGATGGTTTTGTTGGCCTGTCCAACTGCAACTCCTCCTCCTCCTCCTCCGGGAGCTCCCGGTTGGGGATGCTCGCTCGTCCTCGTCCTCCACCTGCGAGGAAAACGGACGGAGCGAACAACCCCCTCCCCTGAAACTGAGGAGGAAGGGCGGACAGACGCAGCAGCAGCAACAACAAGAAGTGTATGTGCATGTGTGCGTGAAAAGTGTGCGAGTGTTTTTTTTGGGTGTTGTGTGTGTGGAGGGGAAGCCGCAATTTTCGCCCTCTTTTTTCTGTTCCTGCCCCCCCCCCCCCCCCCCCCGGGTGTTTTTGCAGATCTTGTCACCGAAGTCCTCTGCTGGGCTTTACCCCCCCCCCTCCCCCTCCGCCTTCTCTCCGCGGGTCGGAGATAGATAGGTCAATTGCGGTAAATTTATTTATTCTTCCCCCCCCCCCCCCCCCCTGTCTTTATTTATTTAATTTTTTTTTTTTTTTTTTCATTATTATTTTCCTTACCCCCTTCTTCCTCTTCCCTTTCTCCAATGTTCCTTACTTCCACCGCCATCATCCTGATTATTACTACAACTACAACTACTACTACTACTACTACTACTACTACTACTACTACTACTACTACTACTACTACTTCTTCTTCTTCTTCTTAATAATTATTATTATTATTATTATTATTATTAATTATTAATTATTATTATTATGATTGATGATAATGATAATGATGATGATGATGATGATGATTATCATTCTTATTCTTATTATCAATGATTATTCTTCATTATTCTTATTCTGAAATTCTTCTCAATTATTACTTTCCTTTTTATCTTTTCCTTCAATCGGTTGTTTCTTGCCATGTGAGAGTGAGTGCGTGAAGAAAGGCAGGAGGAAATGATTGATGATGATGATGATGATGATGATGACGATGATGACGATGACGATGACTGATGACGCATGACTGATGACGTGAACGAAGAGACAAGGTCGAAGCTCAAGTAGAAGAGGGAAAAACGTTGGTGTGGAGGCGGGGCAGTGTCCATGAGGCTCCGTACGGTTTCCAGGGCCTTTTTGCGGGCCACCGGGGGGGGGGGGGGGGAACTGCGTATGAGCTATCCGTACCGGTTTCCAGGGCATTTTTGAGGGGGCTGCGGGCGGGGGTTTTACGAGATTTTCCCTGCAACGGGGTCTGTCCCCGAGGCCGGTACAACGGTTGACGGCGTCGCTTAGCCCAGGGGCGGAGGATAGAATTGCAGACGGAAGGCTCGGGCGCCTGGGTTGACTTCGGGAAGGAATCCGGCACCTCGGCTCCGAGCTGCGCCGTGGCCGAGGGGGAAAGGGGCGGCGGTTGGGGGGGGGGTAGGGGTGGTTGGTGGGGGGGGTGGGGGTGGGGGTAGGGGGGTTGGTGGGGGGGGGGGGGGGTTGGGGAGGGGTAGGGGTGAGGGGGTGGGGGTGACCCTCCCCCTTCCGGTCCCACTTCCTCTGAGCCCTCACCCGGTGGGACAGGAGCAGCGGGAGGACCTGTTCCCGGTCGTGGTGGGTGAACGGCCGCGCCGCTAACCCTATACTGGGGGCGCGGCTGGTCCGGGCCAGCGGCTGAGAGAGAGGGAGACGCGCGGGGCGAGGCGGCGGCCCCATGGCGGTCGCGGTCGGGCGGCCTGGGCGCCCGCCTTCCCCCGGCCGTGACGGTCGGTTGGCGGCAGGGGTTTCGAGCTGGCTGTGGCCGCAGTTGGTCTGTGGAGGCAGGCAGGCTAGGGCACCCGCCGCCGCCGCCGCCGCCTTCCCCGGGCGTGGCGGTGGGTTGGCGGCAAGGGATCGAGCTGGCTGTGGCCGCAGTTGGTCTGTGGAGGCAGGAGGCAGGCAGGGCACCGCCGCCGCCGCCGCCTTCCCCCGGGCGTGGCGGTTGGGTTGGCGGCAAGGGATCGAGCTGGCTGTGGCCGCAGTTGGTCTGTGGAGGCAGGCAGGGCAGGCAGGGCACCGCCGCCGCCGCCGCCTTCCCCGGGCGTGGCGGTGGGTTGGCGGCAAGGGATCGAGCTGGCGGTGGCCGCAGTTGGTCTGTGGAGGCATGCAGGCAGGCAGGGGCACCGCCGCCGCGCCGCCGCCGCCTTCCCCGGGCGTGGCGGTGGGTTGGCGGCAGGGGATCGAGCTGGCGGTGGCCGCAGTGGTCTGTGGAGGCAGGCAGGCAGGGCGCCGCCGCCGCCGCCGCCTTCCCCGGGCGTGGCGGTGGGTTGGCGGCAAGGGATCGAGCTGGCTGTGGCCGCAGTTGGTCTGTGGAGGCAGGCAGGCAGGGCACCGCCGCCGCCGCCGCCGCCTTCCCCGGGCGCTGGCGGTGGGTTGGCGGCAAGGGATCGAGCGGCTGTGGCCGCAGTTGGTCTGTGGAGGCAGGCAGGCAGGGCACCGCCGCCGCCGCCGCCTTCCCGGGCGTGGCGGTGGGTTGGCGGCCAGGGGATCGAGCTGGCGTTGGCCGCAGTTGGTCTGTGGAGGCAGGCACGGCAGGGCACGCCGCCGCCGCAGGCCTTCCCGGGCCGGGGCGGGGGTGGCGGCAGGGGATCGAGCTGGCGGTGGCCGCAGTTGGTATGTGGAGCAGGAAGGCAGGGCACCGGCCGCCGCCGCCGCCTTCCCCGGGCGTGGCGGTGGGTGAGCGGTACGGGGGCGAGCTGCTGTGGCCGCAGTTTTGTCTGTGGAGGCAGGCAGGCACCGCCGCCGCGCTTCCCGGGCGTGGCGGTGGGTTGTAGCGTATAAGGGGGCGAGCTGCTGTGGCCGCAAGTTTGTGGGCGGAGGGAGGCAGGCAGGCAAGCAGGCCGGCAGGCAGGCCGTCCGTGGTTTGCCGGGGCCAGCAGCGAGGGGATGATGGCCCATCGGCGGCCGAGGGGACTGTACGGACGGACGACGGACGGCAGCAGGCAGGCAGGCCGTGTGCGGACGGTCGCTTGCCGCCGTTGCCGTTGGCCTTGCGAGCGGGCAAGGCCCCTTTTTTCGACCACCCGCGCACGCTGGCCCTCGCCTCTTGGCCTCTTGGTCCGGCCGTGCAGCACGTTCCCTGCCTCCGAGCAGCTTCGCCCTGCTGTGTTGCGGGTCCGCAGCCGGGCTGCGCGCTCCCGGGCCTCCCGGGCGTCCGGGAGCGCGGGCAAGGCTTGGTCCCTTGGCCGTGGCCGTGGCCGTGGTGGCCTGGCCAGTTGGGCGGGAGAAGCGGCTAGCGAGGGCGGTCCCCTGGAGCCCGGGTCTGTCGGGCGGGCCCCGCTGCCGCTGGTGCCGGCTCCTCCCCCTTCCCGGCAAGGCTGGTTCCGGGGGCAGCCTTGTGGTGGCGGCGGCGGCGGCGGGGCCGGGGCTGTGGCTGGTTGTGTGCGGGCGCGGCGGAAAGGGGCGTTGGCGGTCGGAGGAGGACGCCTTGGTGCGGGAGCGAGGCCTGGGTCCCTTGGGCCGTGTCCGTGGGCGGGAGAAGCGCGAGCGAGGGGCGTTCCGGAGCCTCGGGTCTGTCGGGCGGGCCCGCTGCGATGGTGCCTGGTGCTGGTGTGTGCGGGCGCGGCGGAAAGGGGCGTTGGGGTCGGTCGGAGGAGGACGCCTTGGTGGCGGAGCGAGGCCTGGGTCCCTTGGGCCGTGTCCGTGGGCGGGAGAAGCGGCGAGCGAGGGGCGTTCCCGGAGCCTCGGGTCTGTCGGGCGGGCCCCGCTGCTGGGGCTGGTGTGTGCGGGCGCGGCGGAAAGGGGCGTTGGCGGTCGGAGGAGGACGCCTTGGTGGCGGAGCGAGGCCTGGGTCCCTTGGGCCGTGTCCGTGGGCGGGAGAAGCGGCGAGCGAGGGGCGTTCCCGGAGCTCGGGTCTGTCGGGCGGGCCCCGCTGCTGTGGCTGGTGTGTGCGGGCGCGGCGGAAAGGGGCGTTGGCGGTCGGAGGAGGACGCCTTGGTGGCGGAGCGAGGCCTGGGTCCCTTGGGCCGTGTCCGTGGGCGGGAGAAGCGGCGAGCGAGGGGCGTTCCCGGAGCCTCGGGTCTGTCGGGCGGGCCCCGCTGCTGTGGCTGGTGTGTGCGGGCGCGGCGGAAAGGGGCGTTGGCGGTCGGAGGAGGACGCCTTGGTGGCGGAGCGAGGCCTGGGTCCCTTGGGCCGTGTCCGTGGGCGGGAGAGAAGCGGCGAGCGAGGGGCGTTCCCGGAGCCTCGGGTCTGTCGGGCGGGCCCCGCTGCTGTGGCTGGTGTGTGCGGGCGCGGCGGAAAGGGGCGTTGGCGGTCGGAGGAGGACGCCTTGGTGGCGGAGCGAGGCCTGGGTCCCTTGGGCCGTGTCCGTGGGCGGGAGAAGCGGCGAGCGAGGGGCGTTCCCGGAGCCTCGGGTCTGTCGGGCGGGCCCCGCTGCTGTGGCTGGTGTGTGCGGGCGCGGCGGAAAGGGGCGTTGGCGGTCGGAGGAGGACGCCTTGGTGGCGGAGCGAGGCCTGGGTCCCTTGGGCCGTGTCCGTGGGCGGGAGAAGCGGCGAGCGAGGGCGTTCCCGGAGCCTCGGGTCTGTCGGGCGGGCCCCGCTGCTGTGGCTGGTGTGTGCGGGCGCGGCGGGAAGGGGCGTTGGCGGTCGGAGGAGGACGCCTTGGTGGCGGAGCGAGGCCTGGGTCCCTTGGGCCGTGTCCGTGGGCGGGAGAAGCGGCGAGCGAGGGGCGTTCCCGGAGCCTCGGGTCTGTCGGGCGGGCCCCGCTGCTGTGGCTGGTGTGTGCGGGCGCGGCGGAAAGGGGCGTTGGCGGTCGGAGGAGGACGCCTTGGTGGCGGAGCGAGGCCTGGGTCCCTTGGGCCGTGTCCGTGGGCGGGAGAAGCGGCGAGCGAGGGGCGTTCCCGGAGCTCGGGTCTGTCGGGCGGGCCCCGCTGCTGTGGCTGGTGTGTGCGGGCGCGGCGGAGAAGGGGCGTTGGCGGTCGCGGAGGAGGACGCCTTGGGGCGGAGCGAGGCCTGGGTCCCTTGGGCCGTGTCCGTGGGCGGGAGAAGCGGCGAGCGAGGGGCGTTCCGGAGCCTCGGGTCCTGCGGGCGGGCCACCGCTGCTGTGGCTGGTGTGTGCGGGCGCGGCGGAAAGGGGCGTTGGCGGTCGGAGGAGGACGCCTTGGTGGCGGAGCGAGGCCTGGGTCCCTTGGGCCGTGTCCGTGGGCGGGAGAAGCGGCGAGCTGGAGCAGAGGGGCGTTCCCGGAGACAACCTTTTTCGGGTCTGTAGGGGC